TCCATAATCAGAAAGTAACCAATGTCACAGAAAACAGGAAAAACCTTACACACACACACACACACACACACACACACACACACACACACACACACAAAAAAGGTGGGCATGTAGCTCAGACTTACAGTGCTTTTAGAGCATGCCCTGGATCCAACCCTAAGTACTATAAAATAGAAGTCATGAACAGATACTTGACACAAAAATTTCAAGAGTTTAGAAAAAGATACAAGGAGACTTTACCAACCAAGAGCATGAACATCATTGGTCATTAAGAACATGCAAGTTAAAACTATGCTCTCTGCTTCCTGGCCACGATGCAGTCACACACACTCACAACTGTTAAATTCTTCCTTGCCTCAGACCCAAAGCAATAGATCAGCAAACCTTGGCCCCAAATCTCCAAAACCATACTCAAATAAAGACTACAAAGAAAATGCAGCAGTTTCCAAATCAGCAAAAGCAGCCTTTTGAGCAATCAGTCTGCAGACCTTTCTGTGGGTCCTGCAGATTTCAGGCTCTTACCATCCTGGAGTAGTGCCTTCAAGTCTCCAGACATCCTTAAACACAGCAGAGCCCTACAGCCAGAGGAGCCCGGATAAGACAGCCCCCAGAAGCAGACTGCATTACTCCCTCCAGGGAACTACCCCACTTCCCAAACTCCCCTAAGCAGAAGCAAACATCTTGCAAGGGAACCACATGGTCCCCTCCAGCAATCCACCAATGAGGACTTGTTAAGGGAGCCGTTTCACAGAACAAAACTGAAGAAATGGCAAAACAGAGCTGATTCTGATCAGGACTGCTTAACTATGTGTACCTCTTCCCGCTTACCCTTACCTACACTCACAGCTCCCATCACATCCCTGGGAGGATGGGTGTGAGATGCCTGCTGCTTGGTGTCTCTTGTCTTTCTAGTACAACCATGCTGAAAACTAATCTCCCTTCCTGCCTCTCATGAAAAAAAAAATAGTAGTAATAAACCACAATGAGCTATTACTGTAATTATATAACCTATTATACAAGGCTCTAAGTACCACATACCCTCATGTACACACAGTGGCTTATATTAGGGGCCAATTATATGGCTCAGTGGCATAGCACTTGCCTATCAGGCCCTGGGTTTAATACCCAGCACTACCCAAACAAAAACCAAAAGGAAAGCTCCTTTCCTTAAAACAGCTTATTGGATGACTTCCACATAAGACGGGAAGCTGCAAGCTGTCTCAAGTGTGAGCTGGTGAAAGAGAAAGCCAGGGAAGTCTACAAGGAAGCAGAGGACACCCGAAGAGAGCAGACAGAAGGCAGCGGCTCTAGCTGTGCGGCTCCCGTCAGACAAGAGGCAGCAGCTGCTCCAGACGCAGTTTGCTTTCTCCTTGCAGGTGGTACTGAGGACTGAGCCTTCAAGAATAAGCTCATCAGGGGGCTGAGGAAAGGCTGCTCTTGCAGAGGACACAGGTTCAATTCCTAACACCCACACAGTGGCTCACAGTGGTCTGTAACTCCAGTTCCAGGGGATCTGATGCCCTCTTCTGGCCCTTGTATTTCTGTGGGTACCAGGAATACATGTGATGTGCAGGCATGCGCACAGGCAACATCCATACACATAAAAATAAGTATTTTAAAAAAGAAGCTAATCAATAAGACACCACTCCTCCCAAATAACCCAGAAGAGATAGTTACCAATGGATACCAAAGTGCAGCATACAAACATCAAGAACAGGAACAGTGAGCCAGGATACACTCCATTGGCAGAGTGCTTACCTAACATGCCCCAAAACCTGGGTTCACTCTCCAGCCTCACATGGGGCATGTCTGCCATCCCAGGGCTGGACAGGACAGTGCATCTGAGACCACACTGGGCAACAAAGTAAGTTACAACCAGCCTGGTCAACACAGCAAGATTCTGTCTCAAAAATAAACCCCCCTGGGAACTGGCTCAGTGGGAGAGTCCCTGACTAGCATGTAAAAAGCTATACGTTGTTCCTTAGCAGCAGAAAAGAAAAATAGGCTTTCCAGGCTTCTTCCTTAAATGTGGTGATACATATTTAATGATCAAATGACAAGAGTACTAATTGGTCTTAGTGGTTCTTGGCTTCTGGTGTTAATGTTGTCATTTTATATATATATTCAAAGTGATGTTATGCTCTCTCCAAGATTAGGTTATAAAAGACATCTGTCAATGACATTCTTGCAGTCTCTTGGATTATTTACTGTAAAACAACATCCTTTTTTTCTTTTTTCTTTTTTTTTTGAGACAGGGTTTCTCTGTGTAAGAACCCTGGCTGTCCTGGATCTCGCTCTGTAGACTAGGCTGGCCTCAAGCTCACAGATATCCACCTGCATCTGCCTCTCGAGTGCTGGGATTAAAGATGTGCACCATTATATCAGGCTGGAATGAAGTTTTTTTGAGTCAAGGTTTTGAATAGACCAGGAATACCTAAAACTTAGCTAGGTGCATGCTACAGTATACCAGCTGGAGTCACAGGGCAATCTGTAGGAATCTGTTCTCTTGGCCCACCATATGATCCCAGTGATCAAACTCAGGTCATCAGGCTTAGCAGCAAGCAGTCTTCTCACATGCTTACTACACGCTTACAGGATTCGGTTTCTCTTCGCTTCAAGCCAGCTGTGGCCCAGTGACTCCTACTCATCTTTGAATCTCTTTAATGTCACCACTTCTCTCAGCTAGAGAAAGCTTTCTGCTTTATTTTACCCTCATGCATACACCTGTGTGTGCCGTCATGTGCATGGGAGCACATGTATAGCCATGTGTAAAGAGGCCTGAGGTTGACCAGTACTCTCCCTTGACTGTGCTCCACCTTACTCATGGAAGTAGGGTCTTGTGATCAGCGGAGAACTTGCCAATGACAAGACAGGCTGACCAACTTGCTCTGGGGGACTTCTGAGAGCTGGAGTTACAGGCAGCCCCACATCAACCCAGCATTTACACAGGTTCTGGGAATCCATACTCTAGTTCCCTGCTGTACAGCAAATGCTTTAACCACTGAACCATCTTCCCAGACCTGGTTTTTGTATTTTTGGTTCCCCCCCACCCCCAGCCCCCACCCCCAACCCCCGAGACAGGGTTTCTCTGTGTAACAGTCCTGGCTGTCCTGTAACTTGCTTTGTAGACCAAGCTGGCCTTGAACTCACAGAGCTCTACCTGTGCCTTGCAAGTGCTGAGATTAAAGATGTGCGTCACTACCACCAGGCTCCCAGACCTGCTTTGTAAGTGATCATATATCTAGATTAGGCCCTCAGGGGAATCCTACCCAAACTGTACCATGCAGCATAACAATCAATAGTTTTGCAGATTACAGCTGAAAATTGTAAGGATGAGAATAGTTTTGGAACAAAATTTTGTAAATATCAATAAAAAAACCTCTCATACCTATTAATTAGGAACCACGCAACAGTAAGCATTCCTGCTAGCCATGTGCCACTCATAAGCCAACTTGTAACAAATAAAGCTGTAACATATATTCCTTGTAATCCAAAAACAATGCCAATGTAGAAATATACTGGTTCAATCACTTCCTAAAGGCAAAAAGAAAAGAATGATAAAGAGGACGATGTTAAACAACCTGAGGATACATAACTACGTACGAAAACAGACAATAAAGTGGAAACGAGGTCTAGAGAGAGAGTTCAGTGGTTAAGAGCAGTTTTTCTTCTTGCAGAGGACCTCAGTTCAATTTCCAGAGTCCACAAGGTGACTCACAACCACCTGTAACTTCTAGACCAGTGGTTCTCAATCTTCCTAATGCTGCAACCCTTTAATAACAGTTTCTCATGCCGTGGTGACCTCCAACCATAAAATTAATTTGCTGTCACTTCATAGCTGTAAATTTGCTACTGTTATGAATCATAATGTAAATATCTGGTATGCAGGATATCTGATATGTGGCCTCCAAAGGGGTCAGGACCCAGAGGTTGAGAACCACTGTTCTAGATGATCTGAACCCTAAGGACACCAAACACACATGTGCTGCACATACAGACCATGCAAACAAAACACTCACACATATGAAATAAATCTAACCTAGAAATAATAAAATACAAAAGAAATACATACATTGCTCCCAGTTGCTTGATAGAGAACACTGGCAATAAGCTCGGGATACAGAGACATCTGCTGCACAGCATTGATAGTCTTCAGGGAGACGGTCTTGTTGTTGTGCGTCAGCTCGTAAACACCTAAATATACAAAGATTTCTCTGCAGGTTACTGCTCTGCTCTGACAACGATTCGACACATCACTCATTAGTCACCACAATTAATATGAACAGAAAGGCACTCAAAGGCAACACGAGCTGCCTCGTTTCCCAACTTTCTTATCACGTACATACAGAAAAATAAGCTCCATTCTGAGACAAATCCCCACATCCTAAAGCTCTTCATCTTTAAGAAGAGGGTTTGATTTTCGAACAACACTATTACTACAATCACAGCTGTGGTGGATCATACCTCTTTCAAATGAAGGCGCCTTTAACATGTCTTTATAATAGGAGTAATAAATAGCACTGTCTCCCTGAAATGTGATTTCTCGTTCAAGTTCCTACAATGAGATAAGTAGTGAAATGTCAGGGTTAAATGTCAGGTGTACTCTTCCTTTCCCCTCACCTTCTTGGGTTCGGTTTGTTTGTCTCCTTCATATTTTAAATTGACATGACAAAGATTCACCAGTTTATTCCAAGAGATATTGGAATTTCCCTTAATTACCATATTCATAGATTGAATTTCTCCATAGTCTGGCAATCATCTTAGTGAAAACACTTAAGGTTTCAAATGAATTATAATTGATATATCACCATATGTTACACATAAGGAAATTCTAGAAGGAAAACCCAAAGAATATCCTAAAAAACAGCAATAATAGTAAAAAGGTAATGACAATAAATTGAAGTGTCAGAATCTAAAATAAAAGTCAGGCATAGTTCTAGCACTCAGGAGGTGGAGGCAGGAGGATCAACTTTGAGACCAGCCTGAGCTACACAGTGTGACTCTGTATCAAAAAGTGTAAATCACTAAAAACAAAAGTCCAAGATAAGATAAACTTACGCTGAAAGCAGTGTTTTCTGTGACTATACATAACCTTAAATACTGAGAAGAGTGAGGCCTTAACAGGTACATTTGAGGAACCAGAGTCTCAATCAGTGTTTGCCAGGTAAGCGAGATTCACAGTGCTAAGGGGCTGGACGTGTGTGTAGCTCCATGGTGGAGGGCTTGCAGGTTCAATCGCCACATCAGAAAGAAAAGAAGCCTAAGATTCAACTATAAAGAACCAAAAAAATACAGTAATTAAAAGCATACAAAATGATAAGGGCTGGAGAGATGGCTCGGTGGTTAAGAGCACTGGCTGCTCTTCCAGAAGACCCAGGTTTATTTCCAGCACCCACATGGTGGCTCACAACCATCTAAAATGGGATCTGATGCCCTCTTCTGACATGCAGGCATACATGCAGATAAATAAATAAATACAAATGAAAATTGTAAGTGTTTGGAGCTCAAGTCTGCAATCCTAGCATTAAAGGGTCCAACAGGGGGACTGGGGGTTCAAGGCCAGCCTGGGCTACAAAACAAGACTTTGCTTTAAAGAAACGTAAAAATACCAATAGTTCTGTAGTTATGTTTTGAAAAGAACTGGATTTAACAGTCCTTTGAGTTTCTTTATTGTAAAACTTTTCCGTTTCCGTATGTTCTCCACTGTGAGTCTCCAAGAGGAAATGTTTTCCAGGTCAATGAAGCCCTCTCCCATTTAGAAACTGCTGTGGTCTGGATGTTAGTGCCTCTACAGGGATCAATCCTGTATGTTGAAACTTAATCCCTAGTATTAGGCAGTATTTGAAAGAGGGCATTTGGAAGGTGGGAATGCCATGAGGACACAGCCTTCTGAAAGAGGCCCTGGAGTTCCCTCATCCCTCTGCCACAGTGAGATGGTCACCTATGGATCAAGAAGCAGGTCCTGGGCTGGGCCTGGGGGCATTCGCCTTTAACCCCAGCACTCTCGAGGCCGAGGTTGATAGAGCTGTGTGTTCCTGGCCAGCCAGTGTTACAGTGAGATTCTGTCTTAGAAAGTAGGGGGCGGGGCAGAGAGAGAAAGACAGACAGAGGGCAAGCAGCAGGTCCTCACCAAGTACTAAATCTGCTTGTGACTTATGTTGGCCTTCCAGCCCAATTTGTAGTCTTTTGTTTTAGCAGTCCAAATGAAGACAGACCTAAGTGAATTTCTTTTAAAATTATTTTTGGGGCTGAACAGTGGTAGCACACACCTTTAATCCCAGCACTCAGGAGGCAAAGGCAGCTGGATCTCTGTGGGTTCGAGGCCAGCCTGGTCTACAAAGCAAGTTCCAAGATAGTCGGGATTACAGAGAGAAATCCTGTCTCAAAAACAAAACAAGGCCGGGCAGTGGTGGCACACGCCTTTAATCCCAGCACTCAGGAGGCAGAAGCAGGCAGATCTCTGTGAGTTCGAGGCCAGCCTGGTCTACAAAGCGAGTTCCAGGAAAGGTGCAAAGCTACACAGAGAAACCCTGTCTCGAAAAAAACAAAAAACAAAACAAAACAAAACATTATTTGGGGGAATGGAAGATTTCTTTCCAGCTGGGTGTGGTAGCTCAAGTCTCTAGCTCCAGCACTCAGGAGGATGAGGCAAGACCACTATGAGTTTGAGACCTGACTAGATTATATATAGTGAGCTTCCAGCTAGCCTAGTTAACAGAGTGAGACTTTGTCTCAAAAACAAAAGAACAACAAAAACAGATTTGTTTCTTTGCCAGATTTCAAAAATGAAACACTAATCACCATCTTTTAAATTACCTGTGCATATGAAACACATAAAGACCTTACTAACCATCTGGGTGTGATGGTGCACGCCTTTAATCCCAGCACTCAGCGGACAGAGGCAAGTGATCTCTCAGTTTGAGGCCAGCCTGATCTACAGATCTAGTTCCAGGACAGCCAGGGCTACACGGAGAAACTTGATCTTGAAAGTGAATAAATAAATAAATAAATTTACTAAAATGTAGACTGAGTCTAAAGTAGGTTCTACAAGTTTTGAAGAAGCTCTCAATGCCAATGTCTTTCATCTGTATACACTACTGTGATTATATGTTCTTCAGAACACCTGTTCCATTTTCCAACCTCTGCTGTTCTCAGTTCTGCCTATACAATACAATGATCCTAAACACTCCAGACTGCCGGCTTGCAGAACCGGAGGGGAGGTTACTTCTCCTGGCTCCTGGGTGGGCTCCTACACTTGGCATGGACAACTATAACAATAGAGATTATTTCTTCTCTTCTTTCTTTGGTGGGACAGGATCTTGCTCCTCCCTACACTTGGCATGGACAACTATAATGACAGAGATTATGTTTTTCTCTTCTTTCTTTGTGGAGAGGATCTTGCTGTACAGTCCTGCCTGTTCTGTAACTTATGTGTAAACCTGGCTGCCCTTGAAATCACAGAGCTCCACCTGCTTCAGCCTGAGTGCTGGGATTAAAGGTGGATATATGCCCATCTTAAGATACAGACTTTTAAGGAAAAAGTATAGGCTACTAAACCAATATACAGACATGGTCAGTAATTACTCAGTAAAAAGTGTTCATATTCATTCTTTTATACAAATCAGTGTCCAAAAACATTCTAAACAAACAAAAAGCAGCATTGCGAACTCAAAACTTTAAAACTCCATATAGTCAAGTGAACTTTGAGAGAGAATTTATTCAAAGGTCAAATGATGAAATTTCAAAAATAACTAGAGTGATTAAGGATTCTGTGAAATAAAAATTTAAAACCAAACATTAAACATGAGGCAACATCTTAATACTGTTATTGGAGCCAGTTAGATGATTCAGTGGATCAAGACACTTGTCATACCATACACATATACACAAATTAATAAGTGTAATTTTAAAATTTAAAATTTTAATAAAATGTAAATCCTGTTGTATTTGTTTATTATCTTCAACCTTACCTCAAAATTGCAACTATACAATCTAATTCCAAAATTAAATACATGTAATTATATAACCTAAACATTCAATTATTTTAATGTTGAAATCCACTTTCTGAAATATGAGCTACCAAAACTACTAAGAGGCTGACCAATACCACCACACTTTACTGCAAGTCCCCAGAGAGATTTAGCTTGATTTGACCAGGCTCTCCTGAGTAGCGCTGATCTGTTCCCCGTTTCTTAGCATATTATAAACAGAACTATTAGAGTGCTACCTGGACCTACATGCTACCTACATTAGGACCACGAATGTGCCTGATGTCCTTGGTATTAGCTTATATAAACCAGTGTATTCCGTTGGAAAGAAGTTAGCACTGTTCTGACCATTTTATCTCCACTTCCTTTGGATTCCAATCTCAAGGTCTCACTTGTCTTGCTACTGTCCCGACTCACTTCTACAGGAGCCCCCCCACACATCTTCTCTGCAACTGGATCGGCCCGTCCTTCTTTGGTCTGGTGCCTCTTGCAGCCAGTTCTCATACACTTGAACCAGATTTTCCTTAAGCAGTCCCAGATAATATCTAAGGAGAGCACCCTAATAATTTCTACTTTACAAATTACCTTATTACATTTTATTTGAGATGGTCTCACTATGCAGGCCTGGTCAGTGTGGAACTAGCTATGTAGACAAGGCTGGCCTAGAACTCAGAGATCTGCCTACCTCTGCCTCCCCAGTGCTAAGATTAATGGTATATGCCACCATGCCAGCTTATTACATATTTTAAGGTTGATACTGTAACTGTGTCTCAAAAGAGCTTCTATAACATTTCACTAATACCTATAATTAAGATGGCACTTGCCACACCTACCAAATATATATATGACCCCCAAAGAAACACATTACACAAATTTCTTCTTACCTGCCTGTTGGAAAACCAAAATTTCCGTTCATGGTATGCTGATAAGTAGAAAACATGCATCATACCACTAATAACTGCTGCAAGACAGCCAATAAATATCTTTGCAAAGCGCTGAAACGACACATCTGAAAAAGAATATTGACGATAATCAAAAAGTAATTCATGGTCCTGAAACGAAGTGATTAAAATGACATCCCAACTCAATGGTTTCTCCCCAAAACACATAACCCAGTCTAAGCATGAGGAATGTCAAACTCATCCTGCAGGACACCTGACCAGGGCTCTTCCAACCGTGAGCTCAGTTCCTGGAAAGCTTGCTTGGATATCTGTGAGGCCCTGGGTTAATCCCCACTACAAGCAAAGGAAGGCAGAGGAGATGGAAAGGACAGATGGATGTCAGAGCCACCAGAACAAAAACCTAAGAAACTGTCAGAGCAGAGTCCAAAAAAACATAGCAGCAAGAGCAAGCAGACGTAAGGCCAAAAGTGAGAGCCTCTGAAAAAGGATGGGCTTTATTTGAGGGTAACGCATCAGGAGTTATTACTGTAACAAATGTGTCACACTAATTAAAACGCCAACAAGGGAAAGAGGTGCTAAAGGCTAGGGGCCAGAGAGAAGCATTAGTGGGGACATGTACTAGCCACCAATCATGATGACCTGAGTTCAATCCTTGGGACCAACATGGTGGAAGGAGAGAAATAATTACCAAAAGCTGTCCTCTGATCTCTATGTGTGTTCAGATGTCCACACACACACACACACACACACACACACACACACACACACACGCACACGCACACGCACACGCGCACGCATGCACGCACGCACTAAGAAGAAAAAAAAATTTTTTTTTTTTTTTTTGGTTTTTTGAGACAGGGTTTCTCTGTGTAACTGGCTGTCCTGGAACTCACTTTGTAGGCCTTGAACTCACAGAGATTCACCTGCCTCTGCCTCCTAAGTGCTGGGATTAAAGGCGTGTGCCACCACTGCCTGCCCAAGAAAAAGGTTTTAATTAAAGTCTATTTTACATGATGAACACACTATAGAGATTTGTTTCACAACAAGGTAAATATGCTTAAAATTAAAGAACAATACACTGAAACTGGTTAAGTCAAAGGCAGGCAGATCTCTGAGTTCGAGGCCAGGCTGGTCTATAGAGGACAGCCAGAACTACAGAAAGAAATCCTGTCTTGAAAAAAGCAAACAAATAAAAACATGAGAAAAAAATGTGCATTGATTTTAAAAGTAATCAAGGAATTACTAATATCTAAAAGTAATGCACTAATATCTAAAAAACATTCTCATTCTGAATTACTGTTGATATATTTTCCCTTCAAGAATAATTGTACACATACTATAAACAACAGTCCTTTATATATTATATATACTTCAATGAGTTTTGATGGTTCTGTCTTAGAAGGATGCACAGGAAACTGTCTGCATGGGAGTCCTCAGCACAGAACACATCTGGACTTTGCACACAGGAGGATGCAGTCTCACTACAGCTGTGACAGGGAGCAAAGTCCCAAAGGCACGACACCCACTGCTCTGGTACTGAATGGCAGACAAGTTTGGGGAAATCAACTTTTTGATTTATTAGATCAGTTAAACAAGAATCTCAAGGCTGTAGGCTTAGCACAGTGTTAGCTGCTACCTAGAAAGGGCAATGCCCAGGTTCAATCCCTATCACTGAAAAGCCAACAAAACTTAGTGTTTGCAAAAGTTACTCTTTATCATATAAAATATACATCTCTAAATAAAAAATAACCTAAATACTCTAAATATTTTTAAACTGTTGAATAAATCAATTATTAGTTTTATGGTTTGGGGTTTTTTGTTGTTGTTGTTATTGGTGGTGTTTTTCAGACAAGGACTCACTATGGCTAGCCTGGAACTCACAGAAATCCACCTGCCTCTGCTTCCCTGGTGCTGGGATTAAATTTCAGACAAGGACTCACTACGGCCAGCCTGGATATAACTGTCTTAAAATTTGGTTTTGGTTTGGTTTCACCTGGCTTTTTGGCAGGGTCATATGTAACTATGCTGACCTAAAAGTCACTACGCGCAGGCTTGACTTCAATTCTTGGTCCTCTTGCCGCCACCTTCCCGGTGCTGACATCACAGTTATATGCCTGGTTCTTTCAAGTTACTAGCTCTGATATTACAATATATAATTATTACATATAAACACAAATATATGAATCATATACACATATGTAATACACACACACATATTTCCTTACATATTTCCTATTCCCAAAGCATTTAGTGATTAGTACATGCTAAAAGCACAGCAGATACCAGATGTTATTATTGTGCTAAACAAATGTACTTTCATAAATATATAAAGCAACAGAAGTAATGACAGCCTAATATCTAACCCTTAAAAAAGAAATGCACACCTTTAATCCCAGCACTCAGGAGGCAGAGGCAGGCAGTTCTCTGTGAGTTCAAGGCCAGCCTGGTCTCCAAAGCGAGTTCCAGGAAAGGCACAAAGCTACACAGAGAAACCCTGTCTTGGGGTGGGGTGGGGGGGACACAATGAATAAGTAAATAAATGACTGAAAATTCAGTTTGAAGATGACAGTAATGCCCATCATCCAGCAGTACAGAGGTCAAGGCAGGCAAAGCACAAATAGATGGGTTCTAGGCTGCTGTGGGCTACCAAGCAAGACCTCTTTCTAAATAAGTAAAATAAACAACAAAGGCTAGGACTCTCAATTAAGTTGTCAGTCATAAACTAGCACAATCAGATAAATCTTTCAGTTTTAAAATGCTGACCAAGTATAGAAAATAAAATAAATCTCATACATTTCAGTATCAGTACTACATGTGACAGTTTGTGTTGTTGTTTCTTAACATTTCAATTATATACCTTTTTAAAAATGTCTATGTATATACATGCTACCATGTGCGTGTGGAAGTCAGAGGGCATTTAATGAAAGTTGGTTCTCTCAGGTCACAAACGATTTTATTAATTTAAAAAAAAAAGCCTCAAGGGCTCACAGGCTAAGAGCACTGACTGCTCTTCCAGAGGTCCTGAGTTCAATTCCCAGCAACCACATGGTGGCTCACAACCATCTGTAATGAGATCTGGTGCCCTCTTCCAGCGTGCAGGCATACATGCAGACAGAACACTATGTACAGTAAATAAATCAATCTTATTCATTTATTTATTTATTTATTTATTTATTTATTTATTTATTTATTTATTCTTTTTTCCTATTATCAGCTTGATACAGTACAAATAGTGAAATGTTTCACTGAGGCTCGCCCAGTAATTGAGTAAAACCAAAACTTATCACAAGCCACAGTCATCCTAGGGTCCCCCCTGCTATGTAGCCTCTCTGGTTCTGTGGGTTGTAGTCTGATTGTTCTTTGCTTTATATCTAGTATCCACTTATGAGTGAGTACATACCATGTTTGTCCTTCTAGGTTTGGGTTACCTCACTCAGGATGATATTTTCTAGTTCCATCCATTTGCCTGCAAATTTCATGCTGTCATTGTTTTTCTCTGCTGAGTAGTACTCCATTGTGTATATGTGCCACATTTTCTTAATCCATTCTTCAGTTGATGGACATCTAGGTTGTTTCCAGTTTCTGGCTATTATGAATAATGCTGCTATGAACATAGTTGAGCATGTATCTTCCCAACAACCACATGGTAGCTCACAACTATCTTTAATGAGATCTGGCACCCTCTTCTGGCATGCAGGCATACACGCAGACAGAACACTATGTATAGCAAATAAATAAATCTTAAAAACAAAAACAAAAACTAAAAATATCAATACCTTACAAGGCAAAGCTTTATTTCTCACTTTTATTATGCATGGGTTCTTTTGTTTTTGTTTTCCAAAACATAGGGTTTCTCTGTGTAGCCCTGGCTATCTTGGAACTCTGTAGACCAGGCTGGCCTCAAACTCGAGAGACCACTTGCACTTGCCTCTGCCTCCTGAGTGCTGAGATTAAAGGACTGTACCACCACCACAAGCAACACATGGGTTCTGAGTCAACCATAACTCCAATTCAGGCTACTGCTTAATTCAAGACCTCAGCTTTGTTCTTGGTCTTCCCGTGTCTTCACAAGAAGTTTCCCTCCCTGTCTGGGACATGCTGTCATCACTGTAAGGGAGGACAGGCCCCTGGCAGGTGGTACAGGGCACACAGAGACACCAAATTCTCAGCACAAAGATTTATTACCCCAGAGAAGCAAGTCGTGGGTGGGGAGGCTGCAAAAGCAGACCGTGAACCTCAGCAGAGCAGCAAGCAGGTGTTTTTGCAGGAGTGGGTTTTTAAAGAGAGAAAGGGGAGACCGTGCTAGGGTGAGCAGGTAAACCCTGATTGGACAGATTAGCCAAATAATGAATTTTGATTGCTGGACCTTGGTGTTTTGTCTCAGGAATGAGTCAGCGGCCAAATAAGGGAAAGGACCTTGGTGGCTAGCTTTAGGAATGCAATCTAACGGTTTTTATCGAGGGGGAGAAGGGTAAAAGGCAAAACCTGTCAGGCCATGTTTGCCAAGCTCCTGCCTGTGTTTGCCATGCTTGGGCCTGCTAGAGCCCTGCTAGAGTCATGACAGAGGAACAGAGCAAGGAAGCAGACAATCTGTACTCAGAGCTAGTCTACTGCTCTTCCACTCACATTCCACAGGCTCAACCCTGTCACAGGCCTGCCTCTCACTGGGACAGGGAAAGACACTACCTCCATGAGGCTGTCCAAATCAAAGGGCAACTGAAGGAGATGTAATCCACTTTTAGGAAAAACAGCGCATGTTTGGGAATGAATAATAAAATAGTACTGACCATCTGTCTCCACAGCCACAAATATTTACATCCTTCCCCAAAGTACAACACACTCAGAGCGGCTGAACAGCTTTTTCAGATCTGCCTGCAGACAGGCTCCTAAGTCCACTAAGACCTGCAGAGTTGGAAAGCTACAGGCCTTTTTAATTTTGACAGGCACCCCCAAAGGCTTCATTAGGTAGAGGCAAAGTTGCAAACCTCAAGTCCAGTTACTTGGGAGACTGAGGTGAAGAAAAGCTCAAGAGCTTGAGGCCGGCAAGAGCAACTTAGTGAGGACTTGACTCTAAAAAACGGCTGGGTATGATAGTGCACACCTTTAATCCCAGCACTCAGGAGGCAGAGACAGGCGATCTGAGTTCAAGGCCAGCCTGGTCTACAGAAGACTTTAAGGGTTACACAGAGAAACCCTGTCTAGAAAAAAGAAAGAAGATGAAAGGGAGAGAGAAAAAGACAGACAGACAGACAGAAACAGAAAGAAAGAGGAAAAAAACTTAGGTTAATAAAAGGTTTGCCCACAAGAAATAAAAATATACATCCACAAAGTTCACAGCATGAACATTTGTAACTAAATACTGAAAACAACCCAAATGCCCAACAAAGAAACAATTATGACAGAGTCCAACAATGAAATACGGCTAAGCAGGGGCTGGAAAGATGGCTCAGTGGTTAACAGTACTTGTTGCTTTCCCAGAGGACCTCAGCTCAGTTCCCGACGCCCATTTCTTGTGGCTTACAGCTATCTGTAACTCGAGATCCAGGGGATTTGACACCTTTGCCCTCTCTAGACACCTGCACTCATATGCCCGTACCAACATGCAGACATCACACCCATACATACCTAAGAATAAAAACAGGGCAGGGGAGACGGCTCAGTGGTTAAGACCACAGGCTGCTCTTCCAGAGGACTGGGGTTTGATGGCCAGCACCCACATGGCAGCTGACAACTCCATTCCCAGGGGATCTGACACACATTTCCAGTCTCAACAGTCACAGGGCATGCATGAAGTTCACATACATACAATCAGACAAAACATTCAAACACACACACACACACACACACACACACACACACACACACACACACACACACACACATATATATGTAAATTTTAAAAATGGGGGCTGGAGAGAAGACTCAGCAATTGAGAGTGCTAGCTGCTCTTCTAGAAGACTCACAGCGGCCCTTAACTCCTGTTCCAGGGGAGCCAATGCCCTCAAACAGATATGCATGCAGGAAAAACACCAATGTACAGAAATAAAAATATAAATCATTTTTAAAAAATAAAAACAACTGCAACTACTCACAGCAACAATATTATCAAATGTTTGCCACTGTATAACATGCTTGTATGTTTGTTTGGGATAAGGTGACACTCTGTGTTGCTGTCAGCCTTGAGCTCTCGCTCCTCCTTCCTTGGCCTCCTGAGTGCTGGGATTACAGGTGTGCACCACCATACAGCACCTTGACTTGTTTGAGCAAATATATATCAGCCCTTAACTTTCTATAGGCAGGAAGCAACCTTAGAAAGCTGTTTGGGGGGCTGGAGAGATGGCTCAGAAGTTAAGAGCACTGTTTGCTCTTCCAGAGGTCCTGAGTTCAATTCCCAGCAACCACATGGTGGCTCACAACTATCTACAATGAGATCTGGTACCCTCTTCTGGCCTGCAGACACAACACTGTATACATAATAAATAAATAAATCTAAAAAAAAAAGAAGAAGAAAGCTGTTTGGCCCTTATGTGCGACATAGGTCTAATGCCCTCTTCAGGTAAGGAAGATAATAGAGAAGGGTAAGTCTCTAGGAGACAAGGTTAAGGACCACAAGGGAAAATGAGCTTCAAGGAACTCCCAAAGAACACAACAGGAAACACCAAAGATTAACTACCCTAGGGTAAGGAGATCTTGTGCTTAGCAAGATTTCCGGATTGCTATGGGACATGTGATAAAGCCTGGGAGATGCTTCCTTTCAAACAGAGGCATTTACAATATCACACTAACGGTGTATATTGAGAGAGGGCACATACAGAAAAGAATTAGCAAGGCTCTTGGCTGGCATCCAGGAATTTGATTTCCAGAGTGTCTACCATTCTTTGATAAGTGTGGTTTACTGTGCTTACCTTATTTGTACAATGTTGTTTATGCTTTCTTCCGAGAGTCTAAAATTTGGTCAGAGGTGCTGTGAGATGGTCTGTATGTCAAATGCTCTGGTTGGTCAATAAATAAAACACTGATTGGCCAGTGGCTAGGCAGGAAGTATAGGTGGGACTAACAGAGAGGAGAAAAGAAAGAACAGGAAGGCGGAGGGAGACACTGCCAGTCGCCGCCATGACAAGCAGCATGTGAAGATGTTGGTAAGCCATGAGCCACGTGGCAAGGTATAGATTTATAAAAATAGGTTAATTTAAGATAAAAGAACAGTTAACAAGAAGCCTGCCACGGCCATACAGTTTATAAGCAATATAAGTCTCTGTGTTTACTTGGTTGGGTCTGAGTGGCTGTGGGACTGGCAGGTGACAGAGATTTGTCCTGACTGTGGGCCAGGCAGGAAAACTCTAGCTACACAGAGGATAGGTGAAAGGTACCTACTTGGCCAACTCCCTGTAAAAACCCTGAACACTGTCTCTAATGAGCTTCACTTATTGATACAAATATAAACGCCACCATTTAAGGCCAAAGACATAAAGAATGTCCTATATGACTCCACTAGGAGAGGAATTTTAGAAGTATGTGTCTTACACACTTTAGCCAAAAGGCCTTTGCCCATGCTGATTTTGTGTTATTCACTATAGTAAATTATAGCTTTAAGGACAATTATAAGATTTGTAAATCCTTGAAGCAAACCATTGGGCATGGGGTGTTTTTGAGGACTATAACATACTGCAGATAACTTGTATTTTTATTTCATAAGTCTGAAACTCAGAATGAGTCCTACCTGGCCCTGATGTAGAAAAGATATCTTGAATTTTAAAACTGATGTAAGACAAAATAAGATTGAATGTCTTCCTTAGGGGAGGGGAGGGTATGTTTTATCTGAGAGACAGGGGCAAATATTTATGAGGAAAGGGATAAAATGTAGTAAGATTGTGTTAATATTCCCAACCATTTTCTCCTTCCTTACAGAAGGATTATAGGGTGATGTAGCTCACTGATAGTGTGAGCCACATGTTCAAAGCCCTAGGCTTGATCCACAATGTGATAAATTAAATGAATGAATAGAGATGGAAAATTATGTATTTCTACTCATGATCACAAGCATTCTGTTTCAGCAGTCATGGTGTGTTTCTGTAACCTCTCATCTGGATTGACTAGAACTTGCTTGGACCATGAATAGAAGAACAAGTAACAGAGGATCAATCCACCAGAACCTCCAAGGGGCACTGTATGATTCTACCTGCTCTTTTCCTCCATCTCCAAAACCATGTCCCAAATAAGGGCTGTTCCTTCCTGGTTCATGAAGCTAAACCAGCCAACCTGTGACTAAAACATGTAACATAATTCAGAAATAAATATTTGTCATATCATGGCCATAACATGGACCATAAACAAGATATAAATGTCTACTGTAAAGTTATAAAGTTTAGGGGTTGCTCTAGATCAAAAATGAATTGTGTTAAGCATGAATTTAATCTCCAAATATCTTTATATAAGATGGGGTATGCTCAGTGGCAGAGTGCTTATCTAACTGGTATACACAAGCCCTGGATTTAGTCCTCAACACCTCAAAACACAAACAACAAAAGAAGTAATTTTTGAAAGTTCACATGCTTCAATGATGAAAACCTACTTTTCCCAGCTGGTGCACTACCACCCAGGCAACTCACCCAGTCCATGTGACTTACATTTCGGGGCTCTTACAGGAACCGGGGTACCACTTCTCTTCTCTGCTCTGGTTTCCTGACTTCCTGAAGTCTTTGGTTTTTTCCTTTGGCGCACTTCTACAGATGATCCTTAAAACATTTAAGACATTATTGCAATGTGTACATCAATCTTCAGTACCTCAAATGGACCAACTTTGCTATGTGATAAATAAGCAAAGGTTATCGACATGGCCAGATCCCAGTAGAAATCCCCAAGCCCCGTCTCTAATGAGCTTCCCTGGTTGATAAAGTGGCACAAAAGGTACAACTTTGATTCTGAAGGAATCAAGCATATCGTCTATGATTCTATAAAGAGAAAAATGTTGGGAGTCATGTGACTAAAACAAGTCATATGAGACCCATTAGTGCCAGAAGTCACTTTTCATATCTGTGCCTCTTCCCCAAACTGTCATTAGTATACACGAACGGAAACAACAAACGTGTATTCCCTACCACCACTGCCACTCAAGTTTTGAGAGTCCAATTGATAAAGAAGCTTACAAATTCTTCTCCGGAAATGATGTTCTTTTAAAATGTTCCAAAATAAGTTAATTTTTTCCCAAAACTTTGAGGGCTATTTTTTGCCTTATTATGTCAGCTACCCAAGATTATCAAATCCATCATTTGTAGGTTAATTTTTGATCAAAATATACTGTATTAATCATAAAAGTATGCTTTTTTTCTGTTCCCTCTTCTTCTTTGTGTGTTGTTTGTTTGTTTTGCCAGACAGAGTTTCTCTGTGAAGTTTCTGGTGCCTGTCCTGGATCTTGCTCTGTAGAGCAGGCTGGCTTCGAACTCAGAGATCACCTGGCTCTGCCTTCTGAGTGCTGGGATTAAATGTGTGCGCCACTGCTGCCCAGCCCCTCTTCTTTTTAAGGGCAAGCTCTTGAGTAGGCTCAAGCTCCTGGCCCTCTTGCCTCAGCCTTCTAAATGCTGGGACTACAGGCATGTACCATTATTTTTCTTTCCAGGATTTGGGACTGAACAAAGGGTCCTGAGCATACTAGACAAAGGCTCTATTGCTGAAAGCCATGCATTCTCCACAGCACAATCCTGAAAGCTCTGCAGAATCTCACAGAGCTGACAAATGTAGGTGTTTGTTTTCTGTCCCATCATACATAGGGGAACATCTAAAATGCCCTAATACCAAAATTCTTACCATTTCTATCTCTAATTTTTAAAAAAATGTAATATAGAAGTTACTAAACCAGTAAGCTAAATTGCAAATTAAAAAAAAATAAGAGACTCGGGGGCTGGAGAGATGGCTCAGGGGTTAAGAGCACTGGCTCCTCTTTCAGAGGTCCTGAGTTCAATCCCCACCAACCACATGGTGGCTCACAACCATCTGTAATGAGATCTGGTGCCCTCTTCTGGCGTGCAGGCAAACATGCAGGCAGAACACTGCATACATAATACATAAATAAAACCTTTAAAAAAGAAAATAAGATACTCCAAATTAAACAGGAATTTGACATGGATAATGTAACTATTTCCTTTCCTAAAGTTATCTTGTGAGATAATAACTACTATGAAAGACCAGAGTGCCCCTGTCAAGTTAACAATGTGGCCCAGGTTTTTATTTCTCTCCCTTTTCCATAGTTATGTCTTCAAGCTATAAAATGTGAAACTAAAGAATGGAATCAGCAGCAATGAGAATGAGCTACGCTGATCAAAGAGTTAACTCTTTAGCGTTACTGTGAAAACTGAATAAAACAAATACATTCTAAAACTGTTTCCAAGCTAACTCATGCTTACTAAAATGTCTTTGAATAATAGTGTAGTAATAAAAAGTGAACTGTACATGAGTAGGTTCAGTTTCACAGTCTAATTCTCACCTCCTTTTAGGGCACCACCATTCCTAACCACACTCTAAATTCCCATGGTGCACTCCTCACTCCTCATCAGTGAAAGGTCTCTTTGCCCCAGAGACCATTACAGAAAACCACAACCAATCAAAACGCAGAGTTGTGGAGCCAGGCCCAACAGATCATCTACAGAACAACTTCCACACCTAAGGCTCCGGGAACACTGTGGAAGAGGGGGGAGAAAGACTGTAAGAGCCAGAGGATAAAGGTCTTTACTGTGCCACTGTGTCTCCCAGGGATGTCAGAGGGTACACCCACACAGTCTCACCAACATGACTGCCAGAAAAAGAGCAATAATGGACATGCCAACGTGGACAGGGAAAGACCACCAGGCCTCAACCGTACACAAAAAACTAAAGACAGCTAAAGAATGCTGAGAATGGGAGAAACGGTCTGCCCTAGGGAAGAGCACAGCAATCAGTTACTCAACAGCAAGGGGTCAGTCCTAAAAACACATATACAAGTGATATTACACAGACTGAGTAGGTTATATTTAGGAATATATATATGTGCATGTAACAACAATTAATGCAAAAAGAAGGCCATACATTTGAAAGAGAACAAGAAAGGGTATAGAGTAGGTTTTAGAAGAGAAAGAGGAAGGGGAAGTAATTAATTTATATTACAGTCTCAAAAATAAAAGAAAAATATTTTTAAAATAAGTAAAAAGAAAAAAATCACTGAGTTTTAATGTCAAGTTTAGTTACATTGAATTGTTGCAGCAAAGCTTGGTGGTGGTGGCACACGCCTTTAGTCCCAGCACTCCGGAGACAGAGGCAAACGACTCCCTGAGTTCAAGGCCAGCCTGGTCTACAAAGCGAGTTCCAGAACAGCCAGAGATACACAGAGAAACCTTGTCTCAAAAAACAAAAATCAAAACAAAACAAAACAAATATGCCAGCAAAAAAAGAATACAACCTGAGCTGGGTGTGGTGACTCACCACCATGATCCCAGCGCTCCAGAGGCAGGTAGATCTCTGTGAGCTGAAGGCCTACAAAGCCAGTTCCAGGCCAGCCCGAGCTACACAGACCCTGTTTCGTAGCTGGAGAGATGGATCACAAAAGGGGGGGAAAAAAGAACAACCTGGCAAAAAGAACATGTATTTTAGCCAATTCATAAACTTTGTCAATAAAACCAAGCTTTTGCCTGGTACTAAAAAACAAAAACTAAATGAATGTAAATTTCTCACTTCCTTTCTACTATTGTTCATGTAACTTGACACAGAAAGACGAAACTAAAGGCATGGGGGTGAGGTTAGGCAGCAAAGCTTAGACCCTGGGTTTGTGCTGACACTGAGCAAGGGTCGGGGGTAAAAACAGCAAAGGGTGAAAGCAATATCTGGGACGAGATCGAGTTCCCTTTTCCACAGGTTACATTATAGAGAACCCGACAAACCAAATGATGGTTACATATCCACAAGAATAATCTGCTACTTCAATCTCTCACCCCATCATGGTCACATGAACTAACAGCTACAAACAGGCTTCTAGATGTCCACCTAGAATAGACAGCCCAGGAGAGATGCTAACACTGTCCTACCAAAGCCTGTAGAACAAGCCAGGCCCGGCGGTGGTGGAGCGCGCCTTTAATCCCAGCACTCAGGGGAGGCAGAGTCAGGCGGATCTCTGTGAGTTCAAGGCCAGCCTGGGCTACAGAGCGAGATCCAGGACAGGCACCAAAACTACACAGAGAAACCCTGTCTGGAAAAAAAAAAAAAAAAAAAAAAAAAAAAAGCCTGTAGAACAGACCAGGAGGGTGCAGGAGAAATGTTAACACTGTCTACCAAAGCCTGCAGAACAGACAGGGGGAGTCCAGGAGAAAAGCTTACTGCTCCTTTTGTGTGCCCTATGTTTGTTTCAGGAAGCATATATGAAGCACCAATAAAGTTCTACTGCATCAAGAAAGATGTTGGAAGAATATTACTTTGAGAGACAGTTGGAAAACAAAAAGATTCCAAGTACCTGTGAGTAAGTCAAAAGCTAGAAATAGCACCTGGATTCAAATAAAAACATATAGATTGGCCTAATTTTAACATAACAAATACAAAACATGTAAACAGAAAGTACTCAGGGCGATACTGCTGTAAATATCATCACACACGTCATTTCAATAAATATTTATTCACTCTTTGTCTTATATCCCAACACCTAAAGGAGGAGAGGCCTAGCCATGGAATTAAAAATTTGTTGAAGGAAACAACATACTTTAATAAAACTGCCACCCACTAATTGTCCCAAATAAAACACATTAATTTTTTAGATTACCAAAAATCCTTAGTTTATAGCCAAATATTTTTACAAAATGATAGTCTTTTAAACAAGTTCGACATCATAGCTATTAAGCATAATAACATCCTAAATGGCATTTCTGCATATTTATAGTATCAAGTTTTAGCAGTGTGTATTTTTTTTTCGAATGTGTTCACTAGGGCATTCAAACTGGTTTGTCAACCTTCCCACACAGACTTGTAGCTAGCCACAAAAATAAAACTTACAAAAAAATTGGTTTTCCAGCCGGGCGGTGGTGGCGCACGCCTTTAATCCCAGCACTCGGGAGGCAGAGCCAGGCGGATCGCTGTGAGTTCGAGGCCAGCCTGGGCTACCAAGTGAGCTCCAGGAAAGGCGCAAAACTACGCAGAGAAACCCTGTCTCGAAAAACCAAAAAAAAAAAAAAAAAAAAAAAAAAATTGGTTTTCCAATGATAACATAGCAACCACAGGTAAAACTCAAGAAACGAGGAATCACATTCTTCCTTACAAACTATTGGTTTCGAGGCTGTTTTTAGGTATCTTAAATGTGGGTGAATTTTAATGAGAACTGCAGGAAGAGGAGAAATGATTAAATCCTGACCTCAAGGGCAGGATCAAGTCCCAGTCAGCACTACAGTTCTGATAATCTTTTGAAAAATGGCTTTCCATTGAATTCTGCAAGCTCCCTTCTTGTACCCTCGGTTCAACGACTTAAATCTAAATCCGATGAACTAACGATCACATTCACAACTCCACTATGCAAGGTAAGAAACTGCATTCCTGGAGAAGGCAGCGTCTGGCTGCTCAGCCAAGCGAGGGGCATCTAAGAGCTCAGTCGTGCACACACGTACCACGAAGTTACTGTGCCACAAATACTTTTTTACACTATTTATCACTGGCTACTTAGTATCTTGCCGCTTCCTATTTTTCTCTCAGGGTGGGCATCCACTCTGGATAAATACTGCTGGCTAAGAAACATTTTCTTGACATTGTTCCTGAGGGGCATGCAGAGCTCTCTCCAGTCCATCAGTTTTAACCCTAGAGGTCCTTTTGGCCTCCTTGTCCCCTAAAATCACTTGCACGCCCCTGCCCTTTGCGACTCATCATCCCTCGCAGCACAAGTGAACTCCGTCAGCTTCTGCGCATCCATCCCGGACCCCTGCCTCAGTTCCTCGCGCGGGGTGCGAGCCCTCGCAGGCTGCACCCGAAGCTCCCACCCGAACCCACCCAAGCTCGTCCCGCTCTCCAGCGCGGAGCAATCGGGACCCGCAGCTCCGCCACTCCGCGCCGGCTTCCTCTCTGACACTCCCAACTTTAGGCTCCACCTGGCGCCCCACTCCGGGAGACGAAACTTTGGGCCATTCTCTCCGCGCGCCCG